GAAGCATGTCTCAAAGTCTTCTCAGAGGCCAGACATGAAATTGTTGTTTTGTTTCTGTGAGATCTGTCAGTTTGTTCTCAGTTGCTTGAATTCATACGGCCCAACATGCCTCTGGTGTGTATGTTATCGGCTGATAATGAACTCTTAATCCTTTTTAAAGGACTGAATGAATATGTTTTGCTTTGGGCCAGAAACAAACTTTATGCAAGAAATTTGTAATTAAGTTGCTCCGCCATGACAGTAGTTGACTTGAAAAAGAAAAATGACAGTATGTCCACCCTCTCAGCTCGTGTGGCAACGAGTACTTCAGTTGCATTACAAATGGTACCCCATGCAATGTAACATAAGCTAGAAGTGTTTGTGTTCACATACTTTTGCACAGTATGTTTTGGGCCTCATACAATGATTGCATTACTAAAGTTTCAGGCACTTCTATTAGAAAGTATAAAGCTAATGAATCAGTACAGCCATGAACAATGCATATTTTAAAGCTTAAATTAGTTTAATTGTGTCTTTGGTATTTGATAATAATTAAGCAATGGTTACTTGGGAGTGATTGAAGTTTATATCAAATGTGTACATTGAGCATTTCTTAGGTAGTAATGAATGAAGTTCGCTTGTAACGTTAAACACGGCTCTGTTGCAGAGGGATAAACTGTCATTATAAAATAAGCTATGGATGTGGGTGTTGTTAATATGCTTTTGCAGGTCTTTGCTTGCCTAGTTTCTGTTCCATAACTTGTCAATAGATGTCAAATTGCTGCAGTAAACAGATTCCTTACACTTAGCTTCAGCTTACAATATTGTGTTTGTGTTCATTTAAACATGCTGAACTCATGCCTCGTCAGGGCTCCCGAGAGAAATGTCTCACAGACATTTGCAGCCACCTGTTTAAATCTGTTATGTGTTCAGAATTTCCCTTTAGTACTTGGAATGAAACCTGTAGACTGTATTTTTGGCTCTCATGACCATTTGCATTATATATTTTATTTTGTCAGCTTCGCTGCAGAAGCGTCATTGCACTTGTATGCATATTGAGGTTACACTTACAGTCTGCCTTCACGTCTGAGCTGGAACTAAAACTTGTAGAAGAAATTGCAAGTATATCATAGCCACTATATGAGGATGTAGTTATGATGGAAAGATACACTTTGCTGAGGAATCGAACATTCCTTTTTTCCATTTCCAGAGAACCGTAGTATGTTGGTACGTTGAGGGTGGTCTCTCTGCGAGGCAGGATATTACAGGATCACACAGGCAAGCCACAAGCGTGTCTAATGTCCTAATTGGATTATGCAGTTGCGGTTTCTTGACAGCAAAGTATTCGAACAACCTGAACCCTGAACCCCTTGTGTTTTCAAGAGATGACAAATAATGTAAGACAGCGTTTTGGCATACACCTCATAATCAGCCATTAACTCGACTTGACTCGAAAATGTTCAGACAATATCGCCAAGTAGTATGTGACCACATAGGTCAAGCTCATTCATGAAACGATCAAGAACTTTGTGGTCATTTCTGAGCACCCCACACATTCACTTAATGTTAGGGTTACCACCCCCCCCCCCCCCAACCCCCAGAATCCCCCCATTTTCTTAACCAGATGTCACAACAAGCCTGAAGGTTACAACTGAATAAAAACACAAGTGGACCCCCTTATATTTTTGCATGAAGTCACCTTTGAGCAACTGAATAAACATGTTTTTATGTCATGATTTCCTTATGAGGCAGCTCCTTTTCAAGCTCAGAATATACTGCATGAACATTTGGAAATCTAGCTGCATGAAAAGAATCAGTATCTAGTGCCAAAAAACTTGGTGTCTTGACATCCTCAGCCAAATTATATTAAAGTGATCAGAGCAGAATACTTCTGGAAACCTCCAGTGCTGTCATTAACATCAACATCTGCTGCTCTGTTGATGTATGTTTTCTGGGCAACCCCTAGGTTGTAGTTAATAATAGCCAGCACTTATATTAGAAGACAAAAGTGGCAGATTTAAAGCTATAATCTTCACTATAATAACATATGTGTTTTAAGACCTGAGTCTGTGAGTTTTGTAAATCCATTTATTTCTTTGCCTCTCATTGAATGTGTAAAAGGAACCCAGAAATTACACATAATGAGCTACTGCCCTGCCAGTGCTGTCAATTGGTGTGACCAATATGGTCATTAGCTGACAGTCTTGTCCCCTGTATGTGTTATGAAAGTAACTCTCAGCTCTCCTCGTCACAAACCGCAGAATGCTGGTTAGATGTTCGCCAGCTATGCGGCAGACCCAGCCAGTGTGTTTTATGCTTGCATGCTCTAAAATAAATTGACAATAGAGGTGCTGCTCCATCGCATGCTGCCTACACCATGTCTAAAACACGAGACATTGGCTAAATACTGCTAAATAAGTATATGTGTGTTTATTTGTTCTTAGTTTGGTTGCTGATATTTCTATGATTGTTGTTGATGTTATCTAATGTATGTACACAAGCAACACAAGCTCACGAAAAGAAATACTGCATTCTACTGCGTACAGAAGTTCAAGTTTGGTGAACTCTGTCTATTGGTCCAAAGTCTTCTCCTCACAGGTCAATCTAAACATCAAAGAGGGACCACTTGACTTAATTAAAATATTCAAGCTGCAATGGATTGCAGTGTTATGTATAGATTATGTATGTTCACATTTTGAATTTATGTGTTGCATTATTAATAAATAACTAAAGCCCTGGAGTGTGACATTATATCCTGTTCATTGCAGTGCTTGTAGAAAGTTTGCATACAGGAGGTCCAGTGTGACCGCGGCTTCACACACACTCAGTCTATAATAACTATTGTCAGTATTGGACTCAGAGACCGTGATATGATATTCCACACAATCAGTTTTGTTTTGGAAGGGCGCCACTATAAACTAATAAACATACGGGTCTACCTCTGCAGCTTATCAGCTCATCAGAGTTTTGACTGGCGTTACTCGATTACAGTTTTTTACAATTGCTAGAACACATTTCTCAATACTTAGGGCACTTTTTCAAAACTCTTCACACAGCAAGCACAACATCAATCTATGTGGGCTAAACTGTGGATAATTTATCATTCCTTTGGCACAAAATGCATTCATTGATGACATCTGTCAAATTACATGAATTATTTTCTCACTTCGACACAAACACCACCAAAACTTGATGTACTACAAGCTAATTTGCACGCTTACATACTGTTTTCAAAACTGTAAAACTTAAGTTAAAATCCTAGCACAGTACAAAAATGAATAAGATTCAATTCTGAATGTAAAAAATCAAATACCATCAAAGCAGTTGCATGTAGCTGAACATCTTCACAAGTGTTTCACTTTCATTACCATCTATACAAAAGGGGAAAACTTAGGAATAATTTTGCACTGTAATGTAAACATGGACCATGTAACATATACTGCAGTGAATTATAAACAGTAGAGAGTATGATTCTTGTTTTGTAAAGACATTTTACAAAACAAAATATTGTGTAGTGCTGCCTGTTGTTAGTGTTTTTTAGGTTGTTGTGTTACGAGTGATAAAGCCCAGATAGCACACGTACGTCTACAAGATGTCGCTTAAAGATCGCTTAAAGGGATAGTTCACCCAAAAATGAAAATTCTGTCATCATTTACTCACCCTCAAGTAGTTTCAAACCTGTATGAATGTCTTTGTTCTGCAGAACACAAAGGAAGATATTCTGAAGAATGTGGGAAACAGAGCAGTTCTGGGGCACCATTGACTTCCATAGTATTTTTTTCTCCTACTATGGAAGTCAATGGTGCCCCAAAACAGCCTGGTTACAAACTTTCTTCAAAATATCTCTCTTTCTGTTCGGAAGAACAAAGACATTTATACGGGTTTGGAACTACTTGAGGGTGAGTAAATGATGACAGAATTTTCATTTTTGGGTGAACTATCCCTTTAAAGCAGCTGCTGTGTACAAACATCTGATAGACGTCTCTAAGATGTCAGTTTTACATACATTCTAAATCATAAACATCTTAAAGACATTTTCTAAATGTCTATTTGACATCTGATAGGAAACGTCCTATAGATGTATTGCAGATGAGCAAACACTCTAAAAAATACGTCTTGCAGATGTAAATGCAGACGTCAAATAGACGTCTCTGTGATGTATGTGTGCTATCAGGGTGTGTTTGTTTGGTGAAAACCTTTTCAAGTGTCATGTAAGAATGCCTTGATTTGAGACATTATAGAAGTGTTTTGGTAGTTTTAGTGCATTTTGAATGTGAAATGAACTGCTGTGTCGAGTTGAAACTGAAAGATGGTTAGGAGAACTGTGTGAAGAGTTTTGAAAAAGTGTCTTCAGTATTGAGAAATATGTCCTAGCTGTTGTAAAAAACTGTAAGAACAGCTGTAATTTCAGAAAAAAAAGAAATGAAAGAAAACGTAAATTTGGGACCAGAATTTTCTCTTACGACATTGCCCCCAATGCATGTTATTGATTTGTGATGTACTCTGCCTTGCCAAGTAGTAACAAACAGAGTTGGGTGATTTGAGGGTGAATTTGGATTTTTCTCATTTTCCTCTTACAAAATCTGATTCATTGCCATTGCAATATGCAGTCCTCAGTACAAAGTTGTATAACCCATTGAACTTCAGTGCAATATAGACAGATCACAAACTGTTTGTCTGTTGTATTGGATTTCTTGAACTTCTCAAGACTTGAACTAGCATTGGCCAAAAAACAGCTTGGCTCAATGTGTTGAAGCATGCTTGCAAAAACTAGGCTCAGGGGTTGGTGGAACTATCCAAATCATATGCCATGGTATGAGTACATTTATATCACGGTAATGGTATATTACAGTAAATGTATCATTTTGGTCCATTTTGGACTTTGGTCTTTGTCTGGGACACCCTTTCTAAATGGTAAAGGCTACTGGCTGACACATCTCTTCCGATGTTCATATATAACATTAAAAAATAGCCTTTAAACAATTCCTCAGTAACAGTGATTTTATTGCTCTCTTTTGTAGGCTAACAGGTAATGAACCCCTGTCCATTTTGCCACTGAGCTCACAGCCAGACGAAAGGGCGGGCAAGGCACACTACAAGCTGTGTGATCGACTCAAACTGGAGAAGAAACAGCGCAGAATGTGCAGACGGGACCCTGGCGTGGCTGAGACTCTAATGGAGGCCATCAGCATGAGTGCCTTAGAGTGCCAATATCAGTTTCGCTTTGAGAGATGGAACTGCACCTTAGAGGGCCGCTACAGGGCTAACATTTTAAAGAGAGGTAAGTAGTGTGCGATCTATACAATGCCTACACAATATTGATGGTCTACTGACTATGGGTAAATGCATGTACAGGTAAACTTATTTTACTAACCCTAACCATAACCTGAAAGTCTAATACTCTAATGAGAGCTAGAGGCTGTTTACACAACACTGTTTTCAATTAAAAACAGAAAACTTTTTATGCCTTTTGGCCATTCATTTACATAACAGCATTTTGTAGGTCTGAAAATGCCAACCCAGGCTCACTGAAAATATGTGCTTGTGGCAACGTTTCTGCAAAATCGATATTTTGTACTTTATTGCATATTTCGCATATTTTATTATGGAAATAAAAGGAAAATATAAGGACTTGGATCCAATTATGCGAATCTCCTCTCCTGTCCCAGTTCATAAAAAATTACACTTTAGAGAAGAGTCAATTTTACCAACATAGTGGCTTTTTATTTGAAGTGTTACAAAAGGAAAAACAAACAGGAAGTGATTCTCTTCAGGGGTGTATTCCAGACAGCACGGTTAACTTACCGTCAGCTAAACCCTGAACTTTCGGTTGATTAACCCCAAACCTTGCTTACTCGAGGTATGTGGTTCCAAAAACGCGTCCGGGAGTAAGTTCATTCAACTCAGAGTATGTTCCTGGTTAAGGCTCAAGACATTCTCAACAGAGCGACGAATCCATGAGTCACCATGGAAACGGACACTAAGAAAAAGCTCACCATGCTGTTTCTTTCTTCTTCTTTTGTTCAGTTCACAAGCTTAGTGCATATCGCCACCTAATTGATGGTTGTGCAATCTTTTTTTTTTCGTTTAATTTTTAATCCTTGAGAATATGAATTATATTGTTTGTTTGATGCTAATTATATATTAAATCATATCAGAAATGTATTTTGATTTAGAATTTAGACAGAAAATGACGATCCATGTGTGAGATGATAATATAAGCAATTTACTGAATGAAACAAGGCAAACGTTTCGGTCACATGTTGACCATTTTCAATGCCAAGCTAACAGTGTTAGAACTAGAAGCCATCTTAATTTGAGGAATCACATGGTAATTAAAGAGATCCCATGATCAATCAGGACACACACACAGATTTTTTTTTTTAATCTCTGATTGATCATGTGATCTCTTTAATTACCATGTGATTCCTCAAATTAAGATGGCTTCTAGTTCTAACACTGTTAGCTTGGCATTGAAAATGGTCAACATGTGACCGAAACGTTTGCCTTGTTTCATTCAGTAAATTGCTTACATTGTTCTCATCTCGCTTGTGATGCTTTGATGTTTGAGTGTGCTGACTTTTTTCAAGCTCTTCACCTTTGGGTAACCTTTTTTGGTCTACGCACCTCAGTTGGATTTTTTTGAAGGCGCGGTGAGTCTCTGGCTGCTTCTCTGAGATGATAATATAAAATGTAATAAATAAATATATATAATAAATTAAACATTACCTTGTCAGTGTTTTATAATTTATAAAGATAACTGTTATATATGCCAATAAAATAAATATAATAACCATATTAGAATAATATATGACCTTATTTATTGCTTATATTAGCGCTTCATCATTAACATATCATATATATATAAAATAGGCTATATTACATATTGTAATATTATATAATGTTGTGCGCTATCTGTCACACCCACTGAAGGCTCGTCAGTAGATCACACGTGTGCTGAAGTGAACTAACCCTGGAACATAACCTGCTCCGGAGCAGGTTATCTTCAGAGAGCAAGTTACTATGGTTACTTACAAACCCTGAAAGTAACCTCTGTTTTGGAACCGAAAGCTGAGGTTATCCGCTCGCTTATCCTCAAACATACCCGGGTATGTCACATAACCTGCTTTTTGGAATACCCCCCTGAAGATCCCAAACTTAACTTTTCTAGACAAAGACCAACACAGCAGGTACAGTAAATATTTCTTTTTTAATACGGTCACAGCACTTTTTACATTGGGGGAAACAGGGAACAATTTTCAGTCTCTTAATAAAAACACACTTCCTCACTAATTTCAACACCATGTTTCATTCATGAATGAATCAGCATTTTTATGTGTATTAGTTAAATGAACAGATCGGTTTAACGATGACTACTCATAAAGACAGTTCCTTGCCACCACCTACTTGTGTAACAATGTAACTGCATTGACTGACAGTCCCAGTGCTGATACTGCTGAAATATCAGCACTTTTGGAAAGTCTCTTCATATAGCAAAATAATAATAATAATAATGTGTTAATATGGAAAATAATGCGTTAATAATGCATTAATGGAAAACATTTGAAAAATAAGGACCGGCTTCATGTCTCTCATTAGAGGTCACTGATTTTGCAAGCATATGGCTGTATTGCTTTTATCTCGAATAGCTGTATTAGGCATTGAACTCTATTGTACTATAAATGGGAGTGTTTCTATGTTTTCATTGTACTATAAGTTTAATTGAACTATAACATTTTGAAAATAAAACTGCATTAGTTAAGCAGATTACAGAGTAATATATATAAATTTTTTTATTTATTCTTTTTCAAATATTATGAACTCATAAATGATGGGGACCTTAGAAAATGTACTATAATACATATAATTTAATAAAAGTTTAATATAATACAGTTTGGTATAATGCAATTCTTATTTCCAGCCCTCAGTCAAGTTGGATTTTTGGCCCTTCATAAGAAAAAGTTTGGGCACCTCTGCCCTACACCCAACCCAACCTAAACTAGCCTGATAGTGTTAACGTATGCAAAAGTTATAGAAAAACACATTCGCTAATACAACTGTGCTATTTTTACTTCCTTCTACACAGGTTTGAGCTGTTTTGTTGAACCGTAGTTTCACGGGATTGTACCGGTGAACCTCCGTACCGGAGCGCTTCACTTCACAAGTGCAACGCCGTATTGTGTGAGCTACTGAGCAAACCTACTACATTATAAAACCAATATATGAAGCTGTATATGTGATGCTAACGTTCAAAAGTATCAGTTTTCAAATCTCGCAGCATGTCAGAAGTGTTTTGAAGTCACAACACAATATTGTGCAGGAATTGTGTGAAATTTAGGCTTTCTTAGGGAAAAAGTTTTACTGCCTCTAGTGTTCATTTCAACTGGAAACTGCAGCGATTTGTATGAAGGTAAATATTTAGAGTTTTGCAGAAATGTAGATAGAGGCACGTATTTCCAATGAGCCTGGGTAGGAAAACGCAACCTTTTGAAATAGGGTTTCAAAGAGCAAGTTTTTGAAAACAATACCAGTATAGTTTCCGTGTAAACTATAAAAACGTGAATTTGTGAAAACAGTGACGTCATGGGCACACATATTATGTGTTCAGTCTATAGGCATGCGCGAGTTTCTTTACAAAGTGACATCGCCAACTACTGGCCTGGCATGCTTAATAAAGCAGTTTAATCGTTTTCAGTTCCATGAGAACAGCGATTGTTTTCGCAATATTGTCGCCTGTATGAGAAACTTTTCAAAAAAGTAAAGGAAAAACTTTTCCATTTTGCAGTAAATTGTTGTCTTGTAAACATACCCTTAGTTGACGTATAGTTGCAAAATTACTAGTTGGTAGAATGTCTAAAGTGGACTATTTAAATTAAATATAACTGCTTATGATACTTTTTTTTCAGGTTTAGTTTTTTTCAGGTTTCTTTGATGAACAAAGTATTCATGTGAAAATAGAAATCTTTTGTGACATCATAAATGTCTTTACTGTCATTCATTTAATGTGTCCTTGCTGAACAAAAGTAAGTACAGGGGGGGGCTTGGAACTGTTACTAGCATTCCCTGTAAAATCACAGGATTGAAGGTCAGGAATTAACTATTGGCTGCATCGTAATCTCCATGTTCCACACAGGCTTCAAGGAGACGGCATTCCTCTATGCCATCTCTTCAGCAGGCCTGACCCACGCCATGGCCAAAGCCTGCAGCGCTGGCCGCATGGAGCGCTGCACCTGTGACGAGGCTCCTGACCTGGAGAACCGCAAGGCTTGGCAGTGGGGAGGCTGTGGAGACAACCTCAAGTACAGCAACAAATTTGTCAAAGACTTCCTGGGTAAGAGGTCCAACAAGGATCTCCGCGCCCGGATAGATATGCACAACAACAATGTAGGGATAAAGGTAGGCTACTAAGATATATTAAAAAGTATGGGGATCATGGGAATCATAAATAATGTGAGAAATGTTGTGTGACAGAAACATGAATGAGAAACATGAAGTTATCTGCATACAGTATACTGTAAAGTGATTGAACCGTTTAGCTTTCTTTCTTTCTTTCTTTCTTTCTTTCTTTCTTTCTTTCACTCACCCATTTTAAATCACTTAAATTGACTATTTAATTCAGTAATTTATAATAAGTGCCCATTAATCAAGGTTTGGTTTCCCTTACAGTCTAAAGTGCACTGAGTTTGTCCAAGTCTTCCATTGTTTCTGGTAGGAGAAAGAGCCGAGGTAACATTGAGGCCCTCGTAAGTGTAAAAACAAAAAAAGAAGGAACAGAAAAAGACCCATAACAGAGATCCAAAGTAAACTACAGGTCTGGCACCAATAGATTGTCTCATATTGTTAGTTTTAGTTGTAGAATGAATATAAATTACAGCAGCGCTCAGCAGACTTGCCCTCTTTGCTCAGTCCATCTCAAGTAGTCGTCCTCAGGCCATTTTGTCTGCGATAAGAGATTTACAGCATTGCAAATTTTGGTCCATCTGCACACACTCAAATAGTCTGTAAAGGTCCCATTTTAAATCACTTAAATTGACTATTTAATTCAGTAATTTATAATAAGTGCCCATTAATCAAGGTTTGGTTTCCCTTACAGTCTAAAGTGCACTGAGTTTGTCCAAGTCTTCCATTGTTTCTGGTAGGAGAAAGAGCCGAGGTAACATTGAGGCCCTCGTAAGTGTAAAAACAAAAAAAGAAGGAACAGAAAAAGACCCATAACAGAGATCCAAAGTAAACTACAGGTCTGGCACCAATAGATTGTCTCATATTGTTAGTTTTAGTTGTAGAATGAATATAAATTACAGCAGCGCTCAGCAGACTTGCCCTCTTTGCTCAGTCCATCTCAAGTAGTCGTCCTCAGGCCATATTGTCTGCGATAAGAGATTTACAGCACTGCATATTTTGGTCCATCTGCACATGTAAGGAGGTGGACGGGGTTTGGGGTCAAATCCCATATGGAGAACAAACTTGGAATGTGCTAGCCTCGGCATCACCTGCATTTTTAAAGCTGATGTTACACGTTTTCCTCTCCTTCCATTGTGGTGGATTTGCAGTTTCTGTTGAACTAGTCCACCACTTGTTTAACACAAAATGTCCAGACAGCACCTTTTATATGCATATCTTAAAGTTCACATTCTTACAGAAATGTTGAATGGATCAAAGACTGCGGTGAAATTTAAGTAGCTACCTCTGTCAGCAGTTCAGTTTTATGGTTTTATGGCATCTCTTCTCAATTTAAAACATTTGTCTATCATTTATTACAACTGTTTTCACATTGACACTAATTTCAGAAACTTGATGTCTTTTTTCAAAACTTTAGACACAAAATTCAAAATGGTCGTCAGTACCTAGTGTTCAATTTTGCATTGTACATTCATATATTAAAAGAAAAAAAATAGCTAAATAACTGATATATTATTTATTATGAAATATCATCGGAACATTCATTTAGATCACCCAAGATTCAGACAGTTTTACTGTGTAGTTGTTTGTACAGTCATTAAATATTGTAGTACAAAATATGTGATACGTATTTTATTATGGCACTACATAAATACATCACTGTAAACAGACTAGAAGAGAGAATACTACAGACAGTGGAATCTTGAAACAAATTCTGCTTGAAATATACAGTATTGATTAAATACAATCAAATCATAACATCGGTTTCTTTGAATCAAGGCAAAAATGATTTTAGTAGCTACAAAACAAACAAACAAATAAACAAAACACTAAAGCCCAGTAAAAGTCCAACTGCAGTGGAGAAAAAACAAGGGTTGAGGGACCGCAAAACATTTTTTTTTTTCAAATCTGAAAACATTTATTTTAATGTGTCCTTATTACAGTCTAATTTCTAATTACAGAATATTCTTTAGTTTCCATAAAATCAATCATTTTGAGCAGTTGATTGAAGGTTAAATCATTGTAATGAAATTAATCATCTCAGCATCTCATTAACAGTCATCTCCAATGTAATGTGTAAATTGCATTTTGAAATTGTAATTCAACTGAATACAATTGAAATGCTACCGTTTTTACGATCACTATGACCCATCTCAGTTGTTAGTTCGCTTTATCAAAATTCTTCACACAGTGAGCACAACAACAGTCTATGTGGGCAAAACTGTGGATAATTTTTCATTGCTTTGGCACAAAATGCTTTCAATGACTACAGCTTTCAAATTACATTAATTATTTTCTCACTCAAACACAACTACCACCAAAACTACCAACCAACAGGCCAATTTGCATTGGTTATACACTCTTTTAAAAACTGTTAAACTTAAGTTCAAAACCAAACATACAGAACTGAATAAGGCAGCAATTTAGAATACTACCACATTGAAACCCATTGTAATAAAAAACTAAATACTATCAAAACAATTAGATGTAGCTGAACACCTAAATAGGTGTTAGTTTTTCAGTAAATCTATACAAAATAGGTCAACTTAGGGATAATTCTGAAAAAAATCTAAATAGTTTGAATAGGTGATTTTAGTTTAGTGAACAAATGAGCTTAGCTTTAGGTTTTGTATCCAAGCAATTGGAGTAAAGTTGTGAGTTTTGTGTTTAGCGTTTAAAAAAAAATGACATCACTGTTCTGATATTAGTGCCAAAAAATGTTTGTAAAAAACCTGTAATGTTTACAGTTTTTCTGAATTGCTAAAACACTAAACCCCAATCTCTGAACTAAATTCTCACAAGCTTAAACCAATTTGTCGAATAAAGCACTCTTTCTGCTAAACCTTAAACACGTTCAGGCAGTTAGGCTCTATTAGCAAATCTCATGCACTCTTTTTGCAAAACTCTAAACACATTCTCATTCACTTAAACACTTGTCACACTGTGATGCATTTGTGCACAAAAGTTAAACACAACTAAAGCACAATTGTCATCGTTTACACACAACGATTCAAAATTGTTCACACTTGTTTCTAAAGATGTGATCAAACCAACTGTACAAAATATGAGCCAGTTCAGAGTGCACAAGTGGCACAGGTGACTGAATGATGATACGAACTATAGATGGAAACAATCTGAGAAGGAGAGGAGGAAGCGTACATGTAAGAAGTGGAGGAAGAGGATGAGGAGAGAAAGAGGAAGGTTTAGAGAGTGTCATCAAGGCTGGATCTGTCAGACGTTTTTTTTCTCTTTGTCTAGCAAAAAAGACAACATTACTTGTGATGTGGACAAAGTGCTCAGGCCGGACTCAAGCGCAAAGACATGATGCTGAGACAGAATGAATCTCTCATTGACCCTGATTTTACAATTGCACAACTTACAGTATTTGAGTGTACTGTAACATGCTATTCATTTAGAGTTTTATTTGACCTCTTTGACCTATGCAGTTGGACTGCAGTATTTTTGCAGTATCCAAGTGCTGAATATATACAAACATTCAGTACTATTCAATATTCAGCACAATACTATTCTTGCAGTACATACAGTTGGCCTATACAATATATTCACCTTACTCAGTTGCAATTACTATACTTTTTTACAGAATTGCAAAATTGTTTACTCAATACAATATACTTTTTTTTCTTTAATGTTCTGGATGCTGTTCTCCATTTTTCTCTGTAGTGTCTAATGAATGCTCTGTATGTTTATTTTATTGACTCGTGTGTGTGATCTGAGAGCACTGTTTGATTTTGAGTGCAAGTGAAATGGTTTTGCAGTGATTGTTTGATTTTAATGGAAGAGTCAGAGGTTTCGTGAATTTAGTTTGAGTATTTGGATTTGTGTTTAAGGTTTTGAGAAAATGAGTGATGGTTTCAAGAAATGTGTTTGAGCAATTCAGAAAAACTGTATTATACAACTGTGGAGCAAGATGCAGTTTCACAAAGGAGCTACACAGCATGATGCAACATATAAATCAAATATAAATAATATAAAATAATAAAAACCAAGCAACAAGTGTTGTGTGTCACAGATAGTTTGGGCAATGCATAGAACTGAATTAGCAAGGAAGACATTGGATTTATGTTTTTTCACTTTAACAGTATACGCTTTTTAAGGACACAATGATATAGTCATTGTTTTGTTTCCAAATTATGACATTTTCCATTTTGTAATTGCATTGTGTAAAACAGAATGCAACTTGTACTGGTAAAACCAAGAATGACAGTTTAAAATATATTACATATATCAGTGATGCTTAAAAACCACCAGGAAACCTCCACTTTGTCAAGGTTTTGTCGAGGAAGGCACACAAAGACGAAGATAAGTTCAACAAGTATTTTAATAGAATCCAGGACGAAGATAATCCACAGAGATGAGGGGTCGACACACACCAATTCAAATGTAATACTGGACAAAGAAACACTGAACTGAATACAAGGCTGCGTTTACACTTGGCATTAACATGCGATCACCGTGATCTGATGAAGCAGATCGGATCATCAGTCAATCAGGACATGGCGTGTTTACACTTGGTAGCATCAGCTAACTTCTCGATCTGGATAACCGATTGGATCTGTATTTCCCACGCAATATTTAAATAAGTCTGTGGTGCAAAGTCGACCTGAAGTGGTCGAATAGTGAATATTTCACTGAATAAATGTACGAGTCTCACTAGTGCTCTGTTCTTCTGACAGTTTGGGAGAGAGGGAGCGGCGTTTTGTGTGATGTCGACCTGCGAATTCAGACACGATGGCTGGATTGCGTTTACATTACACTGAGATCTGATCACAATGCATCCTCGACTACCTCTGGACCAGGACACGCTGATCGGATAACATTCCGTTCAGATGCACGTTTATACTTGTCTTTTCAATGTGTATGTGGACAACATCCAGATACAGGTCGCATGTTAATGCCAAGTGTAAACGCAGCCTTATATAGGGATGATAATTGATGAGACACACCTGAACATGATGACACAATCAGACACAGACAGAACCTAGGTCACAGAGCACATGGGGAGTGAAAACACAACAAACAGTCCTGGGTTGTGACACACTTAGCGTCTTGTGACTGAAATTAAAGTTACCAAGGCTATCATAATTACATATTTAGTTTACCTTTTCTTAAAATTGTATATAACAGACATATTTTAAAGCACCGCTTTTTAATCATTGTGTAAAACAGAATGCAACTTGTACTGGTAAAACCAAGAATGACAGTTTAAAATATATTACATATATCAGTGATGCTTAAAAACCACCAGGAAACCCCCACTTTGTCAAGGTTTTGTCGAGGAAGGCACACAAAGACGAAGATAAGTTCAACAAGTATTTTAATAGAATCCAGGACGAAGATAATCCACAGAGATGAGGGGTCGACACACACCAATTCAAATGTAATACTGGACAAAGAAACACTGAACTGAATACAAGGCTGCGTTTACACTTGGCATTAACATGCGATCACCGTGATCTGATGAAGCAGATCGGATCATCAGTCAATCAGGACATGGCGTGTTTACACTTGGTAACATCAGCTAACTTCTCGATCTGGATAACCGATTGGATCTGTATTTCCCGCGCAATATTCAAATAAGTCTGTGGTGCAAAGTCGACCTGAAGTGGTCGAATAGTGAATATTTCACTGAATAAATGTACGAGTCTCACTAGTGCTCTGTTCTTCTGACAGTTTGGGAGAGAGGGAGCGGCATTTTGCGTGATGTCGACCTGCGAATGCAGACACGATGGCCGAATAGTGAATATTTCACTGAATAAATGTACGAGTCTCACTAGTGCTCTGTTCTTCTGACAGTTTGGGAGAGAGGGAGCGGCGTTTTGTGTGATGTCGACCTGCGAATTCAGACACGATGGCTGGATTGCGTTTACATTACACTGAGATCTGATCACAATGCATCCTCGACTACCTCTGGACCAGGACATGCTGATCGGATAACATTCCGTTCAGATGCACGTTTATACTTGTCTTTTCAATGTGTATGTGGACAACATCCAGATACAGGTCGCATGTTAATGCCAAGTGTAAACGCAGCCTTATATAGGGATGATAATTGATGAGACACACCTGAACATGATGACACAATCAGACACAGACAGAACCTAGGTCACAGAGCACATGGGGAGTGAAAACACAACAAACAGTCCTGGGTTGTGACACACTTAGCGTCTTGTGACTGAAATTAAAGTTACCAAGGCTATCATAATTACATATTTAGTTTACCTTTTCTTAAAATTGTATATAACAGACATATTTTAAAGCACCGCTTTTTAATGACAACTGATGGTGCTTTTGATAAAACCATAATTATGGCAGTTAGGTAAGAATGACGATAACGCCCTACTCCTCGATGGCCTGTATTATATCTTTGGTCTTTGTTTGGGAAGGGTAAAAGCAATCAAAATATGTGGGAACATCAAAATCACTGCTTCAATGTGCTTTTGAAATACTTGTTTTGTAAATAGCGTTGCCCATCTGTTTAACTGACCCATTCAGATTTATCAATAAGAGCGGCAACATAAGGGTTTGGTAAACACTGCACTTACTGCGTCTTTGATGTATCGCAGCTGAGCGCTGTGCTGTGTCTGCTGAGATAATTGGAGACGTAAATGTTGATGTTTGGTAAAAATCTCGAATGTAATTCCTTTGATGTGTGTAGTCTGACTACTTTTAACATTTGTCCCGCACAGGTGATCAAGGCGGGGGTGGAGACCACCTGTAAGTGTCATGGAGTTTCGGGCTCGTGTACCGTGCAAACATGCTGGAGGCAGCTGGCACCCTTCCACGAAATCGGCAAGCAGCTCAAGCAGCGCTACGAGACTTCAATCAGAGTGGTCAGCTCCACCAATGAGGCGACTGGGGAGGGGGAGATCTCCCAGACCCGATCCCAAGGGCAGCAGCCCCCTCCGGGCCCTCGACCGGACCTCATTCCCCGCACCCTTGACCTACTTCACATCGAGGACTCGCCTAGTTTTTGCAGGCCTAGCAAGTATTCAGCAGGCACCATGGCCCGCAAATGCTACAAGGATAAGAACTGTGAGGCCATCTGCTGCGGCAGGGGCCACAACACTCAGAGCCGGGTGGTGACGAGACCGTGTCAGTGCCAGGTGCGCTGGTGCTGCTATGTTGAATGCAAACAGTGCACACAAAGAGAAGAAGTTTACACCTGTAAGGGGTAAAAACTGTCACGACCATGCAGAATATCTCTCACCAGTCTGAGAACAGTGAATGAGTGGAAGGCAAAAAGAGAGGATAAGTGACAAGTTGTCCTGGTTTGGAGAAAGGTCTCAAAGACATCAAACTAGTTGAAAGCACTTTTTTGAGAGGTTTTGCAGGGCATTTTTTCTGTTTTCCATGTGGAGCAGCGTGAAAGCTGTATAATATACCAAGCCTAAGGGAATGGTCTACAGCTTTGAGAGACACCTTGGAACTAGATTAAACATTTCACGGAGTAATTCGTCTGCCAAGATATCAATCAACAGTGAAGTCCAGTCTTGGACAGACAATCGTTTGCCCAATGATTTGACAGTCTCTGAATAATAGCTTCAAGCCGTATGTGTAAGAGTATGTGACTTAATTCCAACTTGCAGACAGAATTTGCAGTGAAAAATAATGGCGTCAGATTTATTCTACATGCACATGTATCCTACACCCACACAAGAGTGTGTATGCATATGTACATAGATAAAATTACATTATAATTCTATTATATACACCACTTATCTGAGTATGTTAAATAACCACTAACCACACAAATGTTTTATTGTTTGTGTGCTTGCATTCACTTTGTGTTGTAATTCTCGACAAGGCCCTTAGGAAAGCAATACTTTGATTTGTGTTTTTCTGTTGATATAATTTATGGAACATCTCAAGGAACGGTCCTTGCATGGAAGGAAAATGTGCATTTACTTCCTTTTTGTTTTGTTTTTTTATTTTATTAATTTCTTTTTGTTTGACAGTGGAAATCTTTGCCAGTCTATTTAAGATTTAACTCGGCCTTAAACAAACTCTACAAATGACTGTTCAGGGAACAAGTGAAACCACTATGCGCCATTGGATGGTAAAGAAATCTCAGAGATAACGCAAGGAGCTTAGTCTCTGTGATTTAGGCTTCCACTTGATGACAGATCTGTCCATCTAGCTGCTGATTCATTGCTGTAATCGTTGCAGCAGTGCTTTTCAGGACAATGCTGGTTAAATATGAAATATGCCATGGTTCATGGCCACTTTATGTTCTGTCAGTTTCACAGACAGCAGGAGGGTGCAAATAAGAGTTGAGAATGAACATGACAGCAAATGTGAGATCCAAATTTGCATTGGAACGAAAAAATTTTCCCCCTTTTTTCATTGTATTTCCAAGGGGGAAATAATCAACCTCAGAGCTAATCTAATACATTTTCCAGCAGATATTGATGTTGGAAAATTAAGGTGAACGTTTTTTATATTCAAGTGCGGATGATGTATTGCTTGACTGTGGTTCTCTCTTGTCACATTGTTAACTTTTACTAAGAAAGTTTTGCTGAATAACTACATTGGACAAATGCCCATGCATGTTAATGAACAATGATCATTTCATCGAATCTATTCACAATTGTGGAGAGGCTGGACATGGCATATTTTTGTATGACTATATGGGCGAAGAAGTCCATATACTGTATCTATATTGTAAACTATAAACACTGAAATTCCATAGTTTTGAAAATTATTTAATATAACAGCTGGCATGGAGAATGCCGCCGTGTGACCAAATGACAGGATCTAAGTTTCTGATCAGACTTTTAATCATTTAAACGCTCTGTCAGTTTAGTGGCAGCACAAACTTTGAAAATGTATGACTTTGTATTCAGATTGCCAAACTCTGTTGAGATCACATTGTGTAAATACAATATATGGAAATTAAGATATGACAAAATATATATATGAATGAATTATATATGCTCTTTTATTTTTTTAGTTTAGTGTGAATGAACTACTGAGTGAGAGACCGACAACAAGAAAAATGGCACCATTCACGCACTGAAGCTTGGAAGCTCTTTTATTTATTTATGATTTTTGTTGTAAATAGCTATGGTTATGTTCCTGTGGCATACAGACAAAACTTTTATGAAGTGCCAAGTTCAGTGCTTTGTAAATAAATGTTACAATTTTATGTAATTATCCTTAGTAGATCTCTGTGAAAATATGCATCATCTGGAAAGCACTGCATTTAATCTTTTTTTTTGTGTCAAATCTTAAAATAAGCAAATTTACTTTTTAATTTTTAATCAAATGTTGCAAAAACATCTGGTGAATGATTCAATAAGGAAAGTTTTGATGTTGCATTGAAGATGGGCAAACGTTCAACTAAAATGACATCTGCATAAATAGACAGCAATACAAAAAAAAATCATTTTATTAATTCATTTGTCTTGTTTTTTTTTCTAGTAAAAATATCCTTAAAACAAGACACATTTACTTCTGCAAATTTGCATAAGATATTAAGACTTTTTGCTTTTCAAGGATGTTCATATTTGCCATGGGAAGCAACACAAAAATGCTAATATTTCATATTAATATATATATATAAAAAAAAAATCAGTCAAGATTTTGTTGCTAATTTTGAATACAAAAACCAAGGGGTTCAGGAGTGCATAGGAAATAATTCTGTCTGAGAAGGGATTCAAATTTTCTTTCATTTAAAGTAACGAGCTGAATTCCAAATAGTTATTTGATGGGGAGACTTACCAATTAAAGAATGCATGGAAAAACAAACAGACTTTAGCATGCTAAATGGAAACCATAATGGCTATGCCGAGTTTTTCACCAGTCATGGTGTCTGCCCACAGCAGAAGTGAACAGAAAGCAGCAATGACATTCATATGACAAAATTCTCCTCAGCTGCTTGTTCACATCTGTTTTGACTACATACCATGTAGATATCACATATAGTTGCATTTTTGGCATGCTGCATGTTCTCAGTAATCAGTAATATATATTTTCTTTCATTGACAGAAGGCATTGTGAAAGCATATGTTTATTTTTGTTGTTGTCTTGGTTCCATATTCTTCCTTTTCCAATGCAACCTGTATAAAATGTATTTGGTAGGAAAATGGACACACAGACAAAATATAACTTATTTTGAAATGTTTTATGAGCATGTGTTAATTGTACATTTTGTAAAGTTCAAGATGATTTTCTATATATTTTCTTGCATTTGGCCTGTTATTGGATATTTGCTTTCTAGGGTTGCGGTATACTTTTTTTCCCCCCTACAACTTCGATTGTTAAAAGAAAAAAAAAAGACAAAATCACCCCCAAGAAAAAACAAAAAACAATGCAAACCCTGTAAAATTCAGTTCCTCTCCTATGTCTGAAATGCAACATTGTCCTTATTTATGATAAGGAATGTATACCAAAGATTAACAATATTTAGTATGTAACCAACACAAAACTACAACACCCACAATAATACTATATATGTCCCAGTTAGCTGTAGCAATTTCATCATTTGTAGCATAAAGGCTGTAAAATTGTATTCTATTTTATACTACTATGTTGATTATATGAAATAAACAACTAACAAATCAGTTGATTGTTATAGACCAACATTCATTGAACAAATGCACAGTAATTTTTTCTATAAATTCCAATGGCTTGGCCACTATTCTGATTTTTGTCAGGGTTTGTGCAATGCTGTAACTATTAAAAGGCATTCTTTTTCTTTTAAGGGCAGAGTTTTTGTCAGTAGTTTGTCTTTGTCCACTTTTGTCTTGTCTTATGGGAAACTATTTTCCTCTAAATTATTTTCCTCTACCTCATGTGTATAGCTTGTAGGTATAAACTGATCATGAATGACTGGTAAGAATGTATTTAAGTTATTTAACATCTTTGTACAACAAAGGCAAGAAAATCTGAAAGTAATAAAAGAGTTTTTAAAAGAATGTTGAGTTTTTATGTTTCTGATTTTACATCACATCTCAAACCTCCTTTCTATTGGTTAAAAATTGTTGGAAAAAAAGTGTTTTGTTGGGTTTCATTCAGAGCAAATTCTATTTTCTTTCTTTCTTTCTTTTTTTTAAAGTAACCTATGCTGGCAGGTTACCATGCAATATGATATTACAACCCTTTCTGTCTGTTACTGACCACCTTTCCTCTGAAATTTGGGAAAGCTACACAATGAATTGTAAAGACGTCATCAAGGAACTGGGAACATGAAACTGATCAACATGATGTGTCGTAGTTTCCTGTTCTTGTCTTTATCCTATTTTGGGGACACAGAGATTAATTACAGGCACGAAACAGCTGTCTCAAGGTGTTTTTTTCCAGTGACAGATTTCTGTAATGACTTTATATTTAATGGCTTTCAAATCTGTAGTGAAGTTCACAAGCTTGGTTCAGTTAAAGTCATCCATTTCAAACTCCTGCTGGAATAGCATCTTCCAATGTCCGGCTGTAATTGGGGATGGGGTTGAGACTGTCGACACCAGAGATGTAATTAGTGAGAATTGTTGAGCTGAGAGGAAGATGCACATCTGGGCAGATGGACAGGACATGGGGGAAAAATATGAAGTATACCATTTCATCATTTGTAACATAATTTTGACATGTCTTGGTGCCAAACCCTACAATGATTTGTAAAATATAAATCAGCAGAATAGCATTTATATGCACCTCTCTGCTTACACGTTTTTGTAAACCTGTTTCATATCATGCTGACATAGCTCAAGAATCTCTGATTATGTTGAATCAGAAGTCAAACAACTTTGCCAGATTATGATACTAACTCCCCACTGAGGATCTTTTGTTCAGCCTCAAGTTCTTCACCAGCTGTGTAAAGCCTTATAGTGAGAGAGCTTTGAGTTTCCCAAAAACATTAATGTGCTAACAGTGTTGGAGAAAGTTACTTTTAAAAGTAATGCATTACAATATTGCGTTACTCCCTAAAAAAGTAACTATTTATGTTACTTAGTTACTTTTTATGGAAAGTAATGCGCTACGTTACTTTTGCGTTACTTTTTAAATATGAGCAGGGCTTAATTGTTTTTAATATAAGAAGTTCTATTTATAGCAAATGTAAACGCCCTTTCACACCAAAAAGTTTTAAAAAGTGGAAAAGTAAATTCACATCTGTACAGTAGAACACAGGAGAAGAAGGTTCAACACTCTTTAGCAATAAAAAAACAAAACAATTGTTAGTTTATCTAAAGTCATTTTTGCTTATTAGTAAGGTTGAACTGGATCATCAAAGGTCAGCAGCAAAGACATTAGTTAATAAAAAGGGATTAAATACATTTGTGTTATTTAACATTTAATTATTGCAGGTTTGCGTCATATTCTAAGTTTGCATTTCATTGCGTTTTAATTCATTTTGATGAATACTAAATACTAAATACTTTTTTTTGTGAGTGGGATGAATTAATGCACATTCACATTTAGTTTAGAACTACAGTAACATCATGTTCACACATCGCACACAACGCCTCTGTACTTCTGATTTCTCCCAATATGGGGACAGGAGAGCTGTCAGTCAATAAATGGGAAAACAAAGTAACTGGCGTTACTTTTTTGAAAAAGTAACTCAGATATTTTCTTGTAAATTAAAAAGTAATGCGTTACTTTACTAGTTACTTGAAAAAAGTAATTTGATTACGTAACTTGCGTTACTTGTAATGCGTTACCCCCGACACTGTGTGCTAAGAACATTGCTAATAAATGTGATTTACTATTGGAAAAATCTACTTTAGTAATTCACATAATTATTAGTAGTTCACCCTAGGGCTGCCCCGACTAAAAAATGTTCTAGTCAACAAATAGCTGTTGATTTAAGCCACTAGTTGACTAATCAAATGTTTATATTAATTTAATTACTTGAATATGTACATGGGGGCCTTTCATATATAGCCTATTCTGTGCTCGAGCGCATGCATAAATCTTGCCGCAATAGCACCCACAAAAGTTATGATTATGAATGTATCGGAAAAAAATAGTAAGGAGATATTTAAATTGATTAATAAATTGATTTCTGAGTCAGTGTCAGCTGTAAAGATGAAGTTGACAATGCTGACTCTCCATCTTTCAGAGAGAAATGCACCTTTAATATGGATCACATAATGAGACAGTTTCTGTTTTCGATTTGAATTGGTTCATTTAAACTTTGGCATTTCAACCTTTCTACAGATATATAAGGCAAATTGTCTATATGCTGAGTTTCGGTTAATTTTTTGTGACGCGAGTCGACAGAAAGCACATCCTGATTGTTCTCTTTATTTTACAAAAGCACAAAGTTTTGTTAATACTGTGAGTGTACACAAAAAAGTAGATTCTTTAGTTTCTAATGATGTATTACTCTCATCTGCATGAACAAAAATGATGGCATATTTTGTTTCCAATGTCATCAGGAAATAAAATGGCAGTGATCGTGCCGGTGCGTCCATGTCATTCAGTAAACAGCTTCCACACTTCACACAGACACTTGGATATGAGCCTAATAGCACACATTTATCTAGGTTAATGTTAGAGCAAGCAGCCATGTGAAGTTGTTACTACTTAACATGTTTCACTTTCAAATGATAAACCATATTTAAAGTCAATGAATGATCGGCCAACATTTGGATTTTATGCCTGATATACTGTATTTATCACAAGGACAAGCCATTAAGCCATCTGTCCGTCATGGCAGGGCCGGCCCAAGCCTTTATGGGACCCTAAGCAGAATTTTATATGGGGGGCCCCTGCAATATGACTGAATATGACACCCATTATCAGTTTTATTTGTTGTAGCTGATTTGCTGC